CTGCTTTCCTCTTTTGCGCTCAGGAGCTTGAGACGGTGAACCACATCCTCATCGATTGCGTGTTCGCTCGGCAGGTCTGGCTCCGTGTGATGTCCCCTCCTGGCTGGGCTGCCCTCTCTCTCCCCCTCGTGGCAGCTGGCTCCAGGGTTGGTGGTCATCCTCAGGGCCTGTTTACCTGAACACCTCCACAGCGGCTTCGACTCCTTGGTACTCCTAGTCTCCTGGTAGCTGTGGAAGGAACGAAACTCTAGGGTTTTCGACTCTGCGCTTGCTTCGGTCGCAGTGGTTCTGGAGTTCATCCACTCGAAGGGCCAGCTGTGGTCTTTAGCCGGCGTTGCTTTTTTTGGGATTTCTTGGAAGTGTAGCATAGCTCTGCCCTCTCCCGCTGTTTGGAGTTGCGTTTTTAACCGTCGTAGTAGTTCCTAACTTCAAGTCCCCCCCTTTAGGCATAAGCCAGTCTGGCTGATTACTTTGTGTAACAAAAACTCTTTTCCTGCTAATATATTGACATGCAATCCTTTTGCGCGTTCGCAAAAAACAAAATCCATCTTGGAATCGATCGATCTGAGAGAGAAGATAAATACTCCCTCCTCGCCTTCTATCTTGGAATCAATTGATCGATCTAGGAGCGAAGACAAATATTCTCTCTGTCCTAAAATATAACGAATTTTATTTTTTCCAGAGACATCCGATAAAATATAAGGGTTTTTAGGTAAAACCTCTTATATTTTATTTTAGGATGGAGGGTAATCTAGGGCAACCAAGACCTAAGCTCTAGATTTGTCTCCTAAATTTTTATTAGATTATCTCAAAATTTAATAGAAATTTAGAGATACATATGAGACATAAGTAAGTTTTTAGCTTTGCCACTGGATCGACGACGGCGCACCTACTCCTTACCACATTCTACGTTTTCAAGCATAGTTTCTCTACAAAACAAATACAGGTTATGACGGCCTCATTAATTTTTCATGGTCTGGGAGCAGTAGTAACTCAGCAAGTCGCTGCCTACTTTCATCAGGTTGCTTGATCTCTTTGAATAGGAGCACTTATCTTCCAATCAAAATTTTTCTCTGTGCGTGCAGGGATGTACATGTACAACAATGATGCAGTACAGTTGTGCCAACCCTTTCCTCCCAATCGCGTCAAAAAAAATATATTATTTGACTTTCAGGCTGATACTGTTGCATAGTCTTGGAGAGAAGTACGATAATTAAACGAAAATCAGGCTTATGCACCAGGACAATTAGGGACGGAGAATCTTTGTGCGTGTCCCAATCCGAGAGGGATAAAATCCAAGATTAGTACTTTATCTGTTTTACAATGTAAGTCATTCTAGCATATTTATTTAAATTTATTAATATCAATATGATTGTGAAAAATGTTAGAATGACTTACATCGTGAAATGGAGAGAGTAGCATTAAAACACAAGGGCCATGGCGTTGTGCCCTGCAGCGAGCCTTTTTTCTTTTTCTTTCTTTTTTTTTTTAAGAACATGCAGCGATCGAGCTAGTACTGTATAAATGCGGTAGTACTCATGTAATAATAGGCCGTTGTGCCGGTGAAGGCTACACACTCCCACTTGGACGTTAACGGGAGAGAGCACCACGTTTATCCGCAGCTCGCTCAGTCGATTTCGGCCTCACAGGAAGGTATTTGTCAGATGTTGCTAACAGTGCGAGGTATAGATTCGGTCGTTTTATAATCCTTCGACACTAAAATTTCGATATTATATACATTTCAGTGGTATATATGGGTAACATAAAAAATGATAAGTCATACGGTATAATGTTAGCGTACTACGTGTAATGGTGTGCGTTTTTTCTAAACTTTCGATATGTGCACACAAATCGTCTATTATGTGTTGTTTGAAATCCTTCACGTCGACATGATAGATGGTGAGGAAATATTTACGATGATACCAATATGTCTTTAACGTTAACATTGTTTCTAAAATTATTTAACCCTCAAAAATAGTACCAAAAGTAAAAGTAAAAACACACTAACTTAAAACTAACACCGACAGCTCAACTATATCAATGAACCCTTTACCTCCTATAAGGAGAGATACGGAAGGTGACAAGTGAGAGAACCTTTCGTGGTTGTGGTGCCAATCAATAATGCACAGAGAAAACATTAAAAAAATAATGCACAGAAAAATAAGCATAAATATGGATCGTACTTTAGTATCACCCTACAATACATCTTAAAAAAAATGTGTGGTCCACATTTGACAACAGCTGCAACTACAAGGGCCTCACACCTTGTCCCACTTACGAGGCAATGGGCCCTAGCTCGCAAGTTGCAAGTGGGGCCGTGACACTGCAACAATAATTTTTTTTGTTTTACCAACCCCTCCTCTCACACACTATACCGATACTCCAATATTATTTTTCCCAACGCAGTTTGACACCTGGTGGGAAGTCTGCCCAGCGCTGTGGTTGGCTGGCGCGTGGGGGATGTGGGGCCCAGGTGTCGGTGACCCTGGCGCGGAGGTACCGTTGCGCGGGTAAGCGGTGGCGGGCGGTGACGAAGGGATTCCTGGCCCGGTCTAGTGTATAAATTCGCGTCACTGTGGGCCCCACGGGTGACGCAGGCGCACCCTCTACGGTATCGCCACGTCCACTGGGCCCTGGCCTCTGGCACACACCGTATGCTGGTTTCGGTTTGTTTGCGCTTTTCCATTAAATTAACGTTTCCTCGTGGACGCCAACCCACTCCTCCCGCTGCCTCCCCACATAATTGCTGGGTTCACGCCGTCCTGGTGCATATGGAAAGCCCAAGTTTTGGATTTAAACTAAGTAGTAGTACTCCACGAGGCCTAAAAAAATTAAGCAAATTTATTAAGCCAGGTTTCAGTCCTTGAGACACAGACTGTGGTCGTGTGATCAACTGTATTAGCCTGAGTGAAAATACTGTTATTTTCTGTAAATTGGTACTAGCAGGTTTTGTTTTAGGGTGGAATGTTGGATTTTTTAGAGTTAAATCCCAACGTGGCCCGTTTGTTTCAGTAACAAGTTATTGAAGAGGTTAAACTAAATATTTTAAGACATAAACTTAAGACCCCTTTAATTAGCAGGATAGAAAAAAACGCAAGAATTAAAAAGGTATGCTTCTTCAATTAATTATATAGAAATAAAAACACAGGAAAAGAAATATAGGAATCGTTTGACAGTGCCATAGAAGAAAAAAACAAATTAAAGAAAGGTTTACACAAAGATTATAGCTCTTACTATTTTATCTATGAAAGTGAAGCATCGGAATATAATCTTATAAAAAGTTTTCTTTCTTTTCTTATCAATTCAAAATAACATGTAGGAAACATTCTATAGGAATTTAAATGTTATAAAAATCCTTTGCCATTCCTTTGAATTAAAGGGGCCTTAACAAAGTATTCTTTTAGATAACATATTTTTTTAAAGCATGGAGTAAATAATCAGTTGAATAGCCAGAAAAGAACATGGCCAATTATATGGCTTGCTGAATATAGATATTGTTCATGAGAACTATAGATTAATATGAGCTTCTTTGCTGTTTTAGCCATGATATAGTCATGAACAACAATTAATTGTCAATTTAAGTTTCGTTCTAATTTCATTTTGTTAATGTTAACGGTATATTAGTTACAACAAATAATAACAGATCTCTCAGTCACTCACTGAAAAGCTGCTCTATAAGTGAATGAAAAACATAATGCATATAAGCTAGTCATATATACTTTTTTTTCGTTGCGATTATATATATAAGCTACCGATTTGTGTAATACACCTATATACTACTCCCTCCGTTTCATGTTATAAGATGTTTTGACTTTGATCAAAGTTAAACTGCTTCAAGTTTGACTAAGTTTATAGACAAATATAATAATATTTACATTACCAAATTAGTTTTATTAAATTAATAATTAAATGTATTTTTATAATAAATTTATCTTGGGTCAAAAATATTACTATTTTTTTCTATAAACTTTGTCAAACTTAAAACAGATTGACTTTAACCAAAGTCAAAACATAACCTGAAACGGATGGAGTAACTAGTAATATTAAAAAGAGAGTAGAAGATAACCCTTCATGCATAAAGGTATCCTTTAGCAATTAGTAGTGAGTAAAAAAAAATTGAAGTTCGCCAAAGCACTGCATAGCACTATAATCCAATCATACATGTGCATTAATATATTTTTTTATGTTATCATATCTGAATCAGAACATGTTCCAAGCATGTTGACCTACGACATGTCTGTTGAAAAAAAAGACATAACATGCATGCACAAATAGGGTAATTGAGTCAATTTTTAAAAGACAATTGAATCACAATATTTTCTTTATTTTTTAAAGAAGACTTAATTCATATGGCAAATCATGGCACCTTACGAATAATTTAATCAGTCGTTCATCGAATTTTATTTATTTTTACATATGTTACAAATATATTACACGCGCAAGAGATTAATTCCATGTGTGCTAAACAAGGTAATCCACTAATCCTAATGATAATACCTTAATCCTTACTTTCATCTATCAAACTAACATTCCTGTCAGTCAAAAACATCTCTTTACGTGCAGAGTCAACTCATACCCAAATCCAATATCATTTTACTCCACCAAAAACTAACCTAAGGATTAATAATCAAATTTAAATCTTAATCTCATTATCAATTCCTTCGTGTAAACTCCCAATCCCCTCTCGAGTTATCAAACAAGCCTTAAAAGGAAAAGAAAATAAGGAAAACGAGAGTAGCTCAATTGATTATTGTTACTCACGATAGATCGACTCGCTGAAATAAATCATAGACTTATCATATGTACGTGTTCGTATTTTAAACTCTCTTTTTTTTTCAGTGGTAGATATAGTATCACCGAATAATCCTCCATAAACTATCATATTGATGGCTTTGTTAATCTCAAGATATGCTGATGTAAGCGTGTTTACATCAGCGTCTCTGTTTGATCAGCCATTCATAGAAGCGACTAGTGAGAGAGGCGGCGGGTGGATCTAGCCGAATCCTGCTCCCCCCAATTTCCCCGTCATCCTCCTCTTCCCCCCGTTCTCTCTTCCCCAAGTCCCACAGCGAACTACGGAGTACTCCTACTCGCAAGGAGGAGCAGGAGGAGCCCCGTCGTCCCCCCCTTTCCTTTCTTCCCCACCCATACGCCACATCCATCCGTGGCTTCCGTCCCCCGAGTTTACTACTGCTCCACGACGCCCCGCTCCCATCCACACCCGCAACCACCTCGCTCGCTAAAAATCCCCACGATTTGTCCTCACATGGCCACGCCCAGAACGGCCGGAACTAGCCCTCGCTCTCGTCGTCCTACTCCAGATTGCCGCTGCTCGACGGAGCCAGATCGTCGGTAGGGAGGAGGAGGAGGAGGAGGTGGTGGTGGTGGTGGTGGTGTGGGGGTGATGGATCGGCAGAGGCAGCAGAGCTCCAGGGGCAATGCTACTGCAACGAGGGGTGGTGGGTCGTCGGGGAAGGGTGGTGGTGGTGGTGTCGGGAAGGCGGCGGGGAAGAAGCCGATCAAGGTGGTGTACATCTCCAACCCCATGCGGGTCAAGACCAGCGCCGCCGGGTTCCGCGCCCTCGTGCAGGAGCTCACCGGCCGCAACGCCGACCCTTCCAAGTACAGCCCCCGCGCCTCCGCCGACGACGACGACGGCGGCGGCGGCGGCGGCGGCGGCGAGCTGGCCGCCGCCAGTGACGGCGCGGGAGAGCCCGGGCCCGGCGCCGCCGCGGCCTCGCCCGACACCGGCGCCGCAGCCGCCAGCGACGCCGCCGACGCCCTCGTGGCGGCGGGTCATCCGGCGGCGGCGACGTTCGACGACGAAGGCGGCGGTGGCGGCGGGGGATACTACGACGACGACGACGACGACATCTTCAGGTCGCAGCTGCTGGACACCAGCTACTCGGTGTTCTCGCCGCCGACGCTGCTCTACGACCACCCGCACAGCAAGGTGTAGTGACCCACCCACCCACCCCGATCCCGCCATGAGGAAGACCACCTTGCTCGATCGCTGTGTGTATTGCATGAAATTGCATGTGTGTGTGCTAGCTTCAGTGTGCCGCTCGATCCCTTAGCCTAGCTCAACATCACAATTCGTTTTGTCGCATATTACTACATGCCTCGAATGATTTTTTTTTTTAAAATGAAGGCAAAATCTTAGCCTGCGCTGCCGCTAGCTGTGTTGTGTGTATGGTACTGTGGACGGACGCCACACACCTGGGGGGTAAATTTAATTATTTGGTGTTTTTCGTGTTCTTCTTCCTTTTTTTGATTTCCCCTCACTCTCTTCTTGATCTTCTCTATTGATATCAATGGCTGGTTAATTAATTGTCGTCTTCACTGCTGGCTCCACTGTTAATTTGCAACTTTGCAAGTGATGAACTGATGATGCAATGCTCGTGTCTTCGCCATCGATATATCATGATGATCGGCGGCCAGCTACGAGCTGATGCTAGTATATATTTATTTCCAGATCTTTTTTTCTTCGATCCAAGATGTTATTGGCTACTACTGTTCCTCTGATTTATGGTCACATTTTTTTATTTCTTTCTGTGCGGTTCTTTCTTTTGGCATGGTTGAGCTTGCAATTGATAGCTGGAGCATCGGTTCGCCAATCAGCAGTCACCACCACACTTCGGGTGGGTGCTGTGCTGTGTGCTGCCATGCCATGCCACTGCTAGAGTGGTAGCGTGCCAAACAGTAAACACACTACTTCGCACTGCAATAATACTACTACTGCACTCGCCTGGCTAAGGCAGCGACACCGCAAATCTATATCAGTAACTCCTAATTAATCAGCAACAACGTGCTACTCATTCATTAATTAACCAGTTATAAACCACTATGATATGAATAGGATGACGGCCTCGATCGATCACTCTAATTTCATTTCGTTTTCAGTCTCTAATTAATATATATACCAGTAAATAAGATCGGCTTGAAATTTAAAGACCACTTTCATCAGGAATATAGTGGACATGCATATATTCATGAACACATCTTATCTATCTTTTCCCTTCAAATTCATTAGTTATATATGCATGGGATGGACACAAGATCAAAGAAAAGCAAGTGTTGCGAGCATATTCTAGCTAGCGTTGCAATTATCATATATGGACACCCCTTCATTTTCATGGCGAATACCACTGCACTAGAGGGCCTCAGGAATTTCCCCTTTTTGTTTTACCCGTGAAGAAACTGAAGAATTCGAATTCCAGTCACAACTTCCAATAGGAGAAGTGGACATAATTAAAAACAATCCATCTCTTTTTGTTCTTCTATCACCAGTCAACTGTACATAGCATACAAGATTGAAGCCTTGTGACATTCAAACTCTAGTACTAATATTAATTGTAGTCGATCATCAGCTGTGGGCCAGGAGACACAACGCAATATACGGGGCCAGGTATATATACTGCAACAGAAGTGTAAGAAAGTGACAACATTGTGTTGGCTTCTACTAGCCCCTACAGTCCAGATAATGATTTCGTTATGAACAGTACATGTGAATAATGGATTTGCCTCTCGCACTTTGTTAGTGTTTGTTGGATGGTCAAGTTTGGAACCGCGAGTTACAACTTACAAAAAGCAACCATAAGTTTCACTAATTATGCACATTTTGATCTTCAAGGTCCTTAAAACACTCATATATAGCACTACCATCCAACCTTTCGTTCATGATTCTTCTGGTTTCATATTTTGGCTTGTTTGATTTGTTCATTTTTGTTCTTCCATTCTTCCACATTGTTATTTGCTAGGCAAAGATCTTTTTTCTCGTAAGCTTGATTTCAGTTATTTTGGTTGATTTGTTTTTCCATTCTTCTATTTCATTTGTTTGACAATATACTGCTTCATGGGTGTATTGCTTTGTGCTGTTGGGTTCCCACTTTGATTCTTGGTCATTGCTTATATTACCCTTGTACTTAATATTTTGTTAGGCTTGTTTACCTTTCGTTTTGTTTGACATTCGCTACTTGATGGCCCGCATTGTGTTATTCCTTGATGTTGGAATGATCCAAAATTAACACCTTTCTATCTTACTATCCTAGAACATACTCATATAGGTATAACAACTATACATGCATACACGTGATGAACTGATGCGTAATAACGCAACTAAATTAGCATATTAATCCAGCGGAATTTAGTTGTGTGGCTTAATTTGATCTTTTCTGCTCACATATAGGTTGTAGCATTGTGATTTCCATGCATGTTGTGCTAGCTAGTTGATCTTTTTTATATGTACTCAATTTATTTCTCTTCTCCCGATATATATTGTCCCAACAATATCTCATTTTTCTTGAATCAATGCTGCTTTCTCGTTCAATGTTTCCTCTTTTGCTTCCACTGTGTGTACAAGTCCCAATTTGTGTACTGCATGCTTATAATTAAAGGGCCTTCTTCGATCAACATTTACATCCTGCAATCTGTATATGATTTGGTCTATTTTCCTTTCTCTTTAATTTACTTTTGAGACAGACATTATATTGTCATGGCGTAACTTCCTTAATTCTAACATTTCAGTACATCGTGTTTACTTGTCTCCAAATTTTATGCAATGTGATAAAAAAAATAGTTGCCCAGATGTTATATGCAAACATACTATCCAATGTCTCTACTTCTGTCTAATAGTAACACGCTAAGGGGTAGGGTGACAACTTGTTGATTTAAACTTGTTAGGACATTAATTAGTCCACAGTCTTTGAGCACATGCATGCATGAGTCCATCACATACTTGCATTTTCATACATATGTATGCATTATATTTGAACCAACACTTTTCTTAGCTAGCTAGCTCAGCTGCTTAATTTACTAATTAAGATGACACTTCACATGCATACTATTAGAACTTTAGTTTATACAAACTATCACCACACAAGAAAATCAATAACTTTTTGGAAAAGGCTATAATACTAACTTTTTCTTACTAAATTCTTACTAACACTGACGTGTCATGATATGAGTGCATCTAGATTTTTTATAACTTTCATCTACTTAAATCAAACAGTTGAGATGATTGTTAGTAAAAGTTTAGTAAGAAAAATTTAGTACGCGTAGCATTGCTCTAACTTTTTTTGCATATATGTTTGAGAAATCTTGGGTTTCTATGCAACTCTCTTAATTAGTTACTACTTCTAAATTCATTCCATTGTTTTCTTTTAGATTTCATTACTACTCTCTCCTAGAGAGGAAGCTCTAAGTCCGTTTTAATGTATGGTTCTTTGGTAAAATCCTATTTGTCATGTTGATTTTGGTATTTCAATCAACTAAATATTTTAACATCTTTTCGTATGTATGTTTGTGGGTGTACTTTGGGTCCTACCCTGGCCTTTCTTTTTCTTTAATACACAATGTCCATATTTTTTTTGGTAAAAGAAATATATTATAACATGCCATAGTAAAAGAATGTATATTTTTTATTAAATATGTTAGGTTCACTTGTTTGCTTATTTTTATATATGGTATTAACTTGTTTGAACCAATATCAGACTATTTTCATAATATCAGAAAACCATCATGGAGCATTTTGTAAAAGTTTCAAGAGCATTGGTGGTGTAGATTCACGGCCACTACCACCAGAGCCTTTTAAACGAGTATAGATGGTACACAACTCTCCTGTCTGTTTGAGAAAAAAAGAGTAAAGTCCATCACCGGTCCCTAAACTTATACCGCTGTGTCATCCCGGTCTTTAAACTTGCAAATCGAACGTTCAGGTCCTCAAACTTGTTTGACTGTGTCATCTCGGTCCCTAAACTTGTAGATCACTCGTTTAGGTCCTCCAACTTGTTCAGTTGTGTCACTCCGGTCCCTAAACAGGACGGTCTAAAAACTTTATATCAAAAAATAATTCATAACTTTTTCATGTGAACTCTAATAAAGACAAACTTTATATCAAAATTGTAGCTCTCGACGCGACCTACAACTTTGTAGTTGAAAAGTTTTTGAATTAAAACTGTTTAGGGTCCCAAGATATTGTTGCATGTTTATAGATTTTGAAATTTTAATTTTAAAATTACATTCTGGGACAAAAAAATGACTTAGAATAAAAAAAATTCAACTACAAAGTTGTAGATCGTGTCGAGGGCTACAAGTTTGATATAAAGTTTGTCTTCATTAGAATTCATATGAAAAAGTTATGAATTATTTTTAAATATAAAGTCTTCAGACCGTCCTATTTGACCCAGATGATATTCAAATCCAAGTTTAGGAACCGGGGTGACACAACTGAACAAGTTGGAGGACCTAAACGAGTGATCTGCAAGTTTAGGGGCCGGGATGACACAGTCGAACAAGTTTAAGGACCTGAACGGTCGATTTGCGAGTTTAGGGACCGGGATGATACAACGGTTCAAGTTTAGGGACCGGTGATGGACTTTACTCAGAAAAAAAAATAGCATCGAGTTTAACATGTCTATAAGAGAGTAGATACATTCTATAGAGACATTAAATTTTACCAGAACCATAGTGAACCAAGAGAAAAAATATATATATTTTCTCATGCTATTACGAATACCTAAACTCAAGACCTCTTGAAAAAAAATCATTTTTATCCACATGGCACTAAGCATCTCAACCTCATGTTATTACTAAAACATATGTGCCTTGTGTTACTTATAGTTAATTACTTATCATATATTAACATTTTATAAAATGTCTCTTTGTGTCTAGAGACAATTCATCAAAAGGCATTTATGATACCTTTTAAAAAAAATCTACCATATATTAGCATTTTAGCTTCTTTGTTTCTAGAGACGATGGACCAAGAGCTATTTATGAGGTACTTTAAAAATGTCTTTATGTCGCATTTTTGTTGTAGTATCCACAAAAGTAGTTTGATTAGTTTGCTTGAATAGTTATTGTTATGTGTCTTATCTATTAGTCAGTCATATTTATTATTACATCGATCATCCCATATTTGTTAAGAGAGTGATTTTATGGTTCTTAAGAGGCACTTCCTCTATTAATAAATATTTAACTTTACGATAAAATTTAGCTAAACTCTGTAAGATTCTGACCATCAGTTATGTATTAGAATATGTTCATAAAATTTAATAAGTTTATAATATGATGATAGTATTTTTTTAGACAAATCTACGTATATCATTTCTTTTGTTTTAAAATTAAGCATTTTGGAAACTGTTAATGGTTCGAGTGTTAAAAGTTTCAATCGAATCCTGTCTTAAATGCAAAATATTTATGACCAAACAAAGTACGTAAAATATCTCTTCTTAGGATGTCCTTTTAACATCCCAAAGTCATTACATTAAATATATCTTGTTAGGATGGCCTTTTAACATCACAAAGTCATTACATTTAAGATCAAGAAAATACCCCCAAAAGATTTTCTCTTAGCCATATGGGGACATGCTATCTCACACATACAGAGGCTTTGTTATCATATGCCATGTTTTAACCTGTACTTTAGAGGAATTAGAGGAACACAAGGTGAGGGGCCTTTTTTTTTAAAAAAAAAAGAGAAAAAAAACAGAGTTCGAACCAGTTGGTAGCCTAGCCTCACAGTTGCAGGACTTACCACCAAACTACAAGCACATTCTCAATGGTCTCTATATATGAGGGCATATCCTGATCATTGGGAGTAAAGAAATAATCTTAGGCTATATTTGGCACTCTCTTTTTCAGTTTCTACTTCCTTGTTTTTCGTTCACGTTTCCTGCACTGCTAAAAGATATATTTTTTAAAAAATATATATATAGGAAAGTTGATTTAGAAAATTATATTAATCTATTTTTTAAGTTTTTATCTAATACTTAATTAATCATGTACTACTGAGTTGTTTTTGTTTTATGTGCATGCGAGATTAGTTCCCAAACCTCCATGCTGAACACTAATACTCTTTTCTTTCACTTAGCCACCAATGTTGCCTGGCCACGCATCGCTGTTGTGTTTACCTGTTATCTTAGGGAATCAAACTAGTACTACTTACCAGGGAGGGAACTAGCTAGCTAACTCAAATGTACTGTTCATACACATGGGTAAAAAAACAATCTGGTGATAAAAAATTACAAAAAATAAGGAGAGATAAAATCATCACCAAGATCTATATACCTTATAAATGAATACCTTATGCAGTGGCTGGAACAAAGTTATTCCTTTGTCTACAAAAAGTTTATGTTCTTTCTAAAAACAAAACTAAGACGGGCAAAAGCTTTGTCAATGTGTATATTTATAGAACATGGGCAAATACAAGGTGCAAACAATATTTACAGGGTGTGCTGAAAAAAGGAAAAAAAAACCTATGGAATCTTCTCCAAAGGAGGTAACTCTATAAGGCCGGTGGCCCCAGCTTTTGTCCAGGCTCTTCCCTCGTCTTTGATCTTCACTAAAAAAATAAATTTCTTAACCACTCGTCATCAATATTACATTCTTACTTGTATCTTTTGAAACTCTGCCTACTAGGCTTTTGTCTAGGCTCTTCCCTTGTCTTTGATCTTCACTAAAGAAATAAATTTCTTAACCCCTCATCATCAATCTTATATTCTTAATTACTTGTATCTTTTGAAACTCTGTCTACTAGTTGTATATGTCTTTTTAGACGCACTCCGTCCAGTCTTTTGTATGGCATTGATTTAAGTGATAAGAAACTAGTAATGCAATACTCAGAATGTAGTGGTATAGGTCTTGCGAACTGTGCATAATTACTTCTCTAGTACATGATCACTGTTTCTGATCAATATTACTGCCTTTCAGTAGTCATTTTATAGTACCGAGAAGATTGCATTTTACCTGAACCCTGAAATTACCCTACAACTTGATTGTGTTTTCTAATTATCAACAGCACAATCTTCTGAACAGTGTAATTGAAATAGCAGTTCTTTTTTTTTAATAAACTCGGCACTAACTTCTGGAGAAGCTGAAATACCAGTCTGTTTTTCTCTTTTTGTGAACGGACAATAGCAACCTTAATATGCAGATTCTTGGAAATTATTAGTTGACTAACTAAAGCACGGTACAAAAAATATACATCTTATAACACTGGTTTACTGTTTACCAATTCAGCTGAATTACAATGAAATATTAAAAGTGGTAGTGTAATCATTGGTTAACAGTGCAGTTTTTTCTTGATATTGACGTGTACGCACACTAATCCTTCGCATGCACTAACTAAAACTGCTGTGCTGCTAGTTGTAGTTAAGTTGTCGTTTACTGCCTGTGATTTCTGAACAGCAATTGATGTGCTGAATCTGCTGATCCGACACGCTCACTACAATGCTGCTAGATGTAGTTAACTTGTCGTTTACTGCCCGTGCAGAGCTTCTTCTTCTTCTTTTTTTTTTTTTTTTGAGAACTCGTAGTACAGAGCAATTGATGTGCCGATCCGACATGTTCATTACTACAGTAACCAAAACCATACTATGTGGTCATCTCTGTGTGGTTTTCAAATGGCTGAAGTAATGTGACTGTTGGTTCTGAATCTTGTAGGAGTATACTGTACATTTCGAATGAGTTCTAACTATGCATAGATAAAATAGAACCTTATTTGCGTGCTTGTTGACTTATTATTGTTGTTACGGAACTTCAGTTTATTAGCTAAAATCAAAATTAATTGTTTCTCCAAATAATTAGGAGTTTGGCGTTGTTGTTCGTGAAGAGTTTATTGATTTCAAGATCCTTAGTACTAGTACTAAATGTGTTGTTATTAATTGTTTTCTGAGACATTTGAATATGCTGCTGTTTGGAAACTCAAAAACGTATATACTGAGATATGTGCGTGTATACATGAGATATTGGTTATCGTCAGATAACGACATTGTTGGATAGTATAGGAGAGAAATACTGTGTAACGTGGGACACATTGTATTGAGCCTCAGGGGGCCGATATATATAGGAGTACATGGAGAGGAGATAAGGAAGGATTACAGATATGGAAGGAATCCAAACAAACCAATCCTATCCTAATATGACTCTAACTACCATATACTCTAACATCCCCCCGCAGTCTAAGCGTGAGCAGCGCGGACACTTGGACTGGAGAAGAAACCGGCAAGAGTGCTCAATACGGATGATAGCCCTTTGTGCGTTGTCGACGTAGCCAAAGCGAAGGGTGCGAGGGAGCCGTGGTCGAGGAAGCCGTGCGTAGAGTAGCCGTGGTCGATGTAACTGAAGTCGGGAAGTTGATGTCGAGGTAGCCGAGCCGCAGGGCGCGCATGGGGCGCCGTAGAGTGGTCGTGGACGCACGGGAGGGGCGTCGTGGACCAAGGTGCGCGAGAACGCGCTGGAGACGAAGACGGTGACACAATCGCGGTAATCGTTGAGGAAGATGACGCCGAAGAGCCGATGTAGTCGAACCGTGAAGGACGAGACATCACACAGGGTTTGCCAGACCCCGGGACAACTCGGGACGAACGCGCGCAACGGTGTTGCCAGTACCGTGCGGGTGATGTAGGGGACCACCATGAATCATACACCAATGTCGGAGGAGACTAGCAGAGAAGGCCTCCGAGACGGTCGCGGCGCGAGAACGGCGTAAAGGGAGAATTGCCGGAGCAGCACACAGTTGCCGGAGAAGTGCGAAGTGTAGTCGAGGAAGATACGCGACGCTGGCGATGAGTCATGCTGGACGAAGTAGAAGGCGAAGTAGTGGGACCAACGGCCTGGACGGCGATGTCGGTAGCCATGTAGAGGTAGCTGGACCACCGGCCTAGAGTGGCGACGGTGGCAACTTGGAGATGCGGCGGCGATGCTCGAAGTAGAGGAAGAAGACCCTGAGCGGCTGACGATGACTAGTGTGGACGACGAGGGTGTCGATGTGCAAACGGCGATGAAGACGACGAAAGCGGCGAAGCTGCGGTCCGAGAGGACAACACAGCTGTAGCTCTATGTCGATGCAGCGGCAAGAAGTCCACGGGCAGTGGCACTATGGCCCGAGGGGGGGCGACGCAGCGGCAACCCAAAGCTTAATGGCGTAGACGCGCAGTTGAAGACGATCGGCGGTAGAAGTCATCATGTCCATGCGCTTAATCGGGTGATCAAGCCGAAGTCGCGCTCAACGAGACGAGAAAGTCAAAGCTGAAATCGATGCCGATGTCGGAGACGCGAGGATGTCGACGAGGCGGTGGGCGACGCAAACCCGTTCTCAGAACGGGAAAAAAAATTGATACAGTAGCATGCAGTGGTAGTCCACAGTAGAAGCCAAACTCCACGTCTCCCATGGTCCATGGACCAAGTTCACACAGTCCTGAGCCCGTGAATAACTTGCTCATCCCCAATCTCTCACTTCATTGGCATGGAGCAGACGAACAATCAACGTGTCCACCACCTCCGACAGAGACAGAGCGGGGGGAGGGAGAGCGCCAGGCGGTGGGCGTCGAGGCCAGCGAACGGATGGGAGGCGGTGGTGGAGATGAGCTGTCGGCGCAGCCAAGGAGACGACCTCGAGGTGGTAGCCGCCGGTGGAGCAGCCGAGGCCGGCAGCCCGGCAGACAGCAGAAAGCGGCGCCCCGTCGGCCAGGCCGGCGGCTGAAGGCGGAGGGCGTGCGGTGCCGGCCGATGGTGGCATGCTCCAAGCGGCAGTCCGCCAGATCGGCGAGGAGTCCGGGCGGAGATGGCGACGACAGCGAGGCCGGCACTCGGCTAGATGGGATCGACCGCAACGACGACGACCTCGACCGCAACGACGACGACCTCCAGATGACGACTGCCAGATGGTTGCGTGGATGGTGGAGAGGGCGTCGACAGTGAACGGCGGCCTGCGAGCGTAGGCGGCGGAGGCGGCCGCCGAGGAGGAACCGGCAGGGACGTGTCCCCCGTACTCTGTGCCGCGCCAACGACGCCACGACGACCATGGCAACGCCGGCGCCCGGTGGAGCTTGATGAAGATGGCGCCGGTGGCGTCGGGGCGGTCTTGCCCCAGGTGAGGCCGACGACCAGCGGGCGGCGCGGCCTACCGGCGACGTCGGGGTGCTGGTGGAGATCGGGTCGGCCATGCCCTCCAGATCGGCGATGACGATGTGGATGGTACGATGCTACTGACTTCTTCACGATGACGCGAAGACGACTCGACGATGCCGAGGAGATCGAGATCGATCTCGGCGGCGAAGCACAAAGAGAAAAAAAAACAAAAAACGGGTGGCCGCCCCCGGGAGATCGCTATTCCCGGGGGCAGCGGCGGCGAAAGCGTGAGAGCGGCGCTAGATCGCCCGCTCTGATACCATGTTGGATAGTATAGGAGAGGAATACTGCGTAACGTGGGACATATTGTATTAAGCCTCAGGGGACCGATATATATAGGAGTACATGGAGAGGTGATAAGGAAGGATTACAGATATGGAAGGAATCCAAACAAACCAATCCTATCCTAATATGACTCTAACTACCATATACTCTAACATCCCCCGCAGTGGAAGGGAGGGGAGGAGGGGGAGGAGAGAGGGGAGGAGGAGATGGGGTGAGAGAAGAAGGAAGAGAAGGATGGGAGGAGAGAAGGAGAGAAGAAGATAAGATGGAGATGGCTGGATGGGAGAAGAGGAGATAAGGATGGAATTAATAGAAGACTTTGCATGCGCGCGTGGATAGAGGTTTTGTTTTACCGGTTGTTTAACAACCGGGACTATAAATCCTAACTTTAGTCCCGGTTGGTGTTACCAACCGGGACTAAAGTTAGGATTTTGTGATCTTTACTCCCGGTTGGTGGAAAGTTAGGATTTATAGTCCCGGTTGTTGTTACCAACCGGGATTAAAGATCACGGGAGGGCCTGACAGCCCCTGACAACATACCAACCGGGACTAAAGATCAAATATGCCCACTATAGCTACCAACTGGGACTAAAGATCATCTTTAGCCTCGGTTTTTAGTGGAATCGGGACTATTGTGGATTTTGGTCGACCGACCAAAGATGGTTTCTCCACCAGTGTAAATTAACATATTTTAAGATTGATAAAATCATCACATGTGTAACAAGTTATAAATATGAACACCTGCTATATCATATATAGGAATTGAAGTTGGGTAGGCTGGTTTCACTCCAAAAGAATTTAATCGCTCGAGTTTGCACAGTTATTAAGACATTCGCATTCGGAGATAGCATTTGTGCAAATAACCGATTTTCATATGCTCTCGATCGTATGTGGCTGAGAAAACGTCTGAACAAATGTTTCTTTTTTGGGAAAATTGGAACTATGCCATTATAATTTTACAAAATTTGAGATATGCCATCCTGACCCACATGTCATTGACTCATGTGGGTTCTACATGTCATTGAGATACCGATAGTATATCTCAAACTTTGTAAAATTATAATGGCATGGTTCCAAATTACCCTTCTTTTTTCACCATTGCAGCGAGCAGCCGAGCACGAAGTTTATTTTTGTTAGGTCGTTCACTTATTTTTACACAATTATAATTAAGAGCGCGCTAATCGAACAAATAGCATAGGGTTGCATCATTGGTCCCTGGAATAAGTTCACCTGATGTCCCTCAATTAATTTTACATAGAGTCTGTTTGAGGTCCCCTAACCGTAATACCAGAAATGTGTACATCTGAACTATGTAAAACCGTTCAAAAAAACGTCCCAAGGTAGTATAGACACCCGGTTTCGCTGGCGTGGCATCCTAGTCAGCAAAAATAAAATATAATAAATATGTGGGGCCCATATGTAAGTGCGAGAAAACGGTATAGGCCCCACCCTTTCTGTTCTTTTTCTCTTCTCTTCTCTCCTTCTCTCGAGCAGGCGCGGCGGAAGACTTGGCGTGAGGCAGCCGACGACGGAGCAGGAGCGACGGCAGGGGGAGAGGTGGAGAGAGACGGCCGGCACGACGGCGAGCTCGGCGGCGGAGAGGAACGGCGCGCGGCGCGGCGGAGGAGAGAGGAGCGGCGCGCAGAGCAGGGGCGGTGCCAGCGGGAGAGGCGGAGAGAGACGGCCGACCTAGGTCTTCCGGTATGCTACTCCATGCGCACGGCGGTGGGTGGGACGGTGGATGCCCATCACGAGCGCTGCCGACTCTACGCACGCCATCAACCCCACCGACCTCGTCGCGCCCTCCTCCATCCCTTCACCGATGCCGTTCGCGCCCTCCCACCGCTACCGGCCTTCTTCGCGCGTGACGGCTGACCCCAACTGAGGCCGCCTCGTCGCCACCCCCATAGCCGTGCTGTGTCGCCGTCGCCTCCTCACCGCCCCAGCTGTCACCGCCTCCCCAGACTCGACCTCGGACATGTGGTGGGGAAAAAAGTGAAAGAAGTGGGCGTTGACACGGTGGGCTACACGTTGAGCGGCGGGGGAGAGGAGAGTCATCAAAGTCTGAGTCCATACACTTGCTAGCTAATACTGGATCGTCAAAGATCTGATTATATTTCCCTTATATTCTCCTCGTCCAGGGGACTCTTTAAGTTGATTTGTTCCCCTACTCTCCGGTAAAGCTCCTCAGAAATTGCTTTTAGGAAAGATGCGTGTTCGGCCGCATAAGCCAGATAAATTGAAGAAGAAGGGGCAGCCCCTCCGGACGCTGCAGTTGTTCCGCGGTGATACGGACTCGACCCGCTCCTACCCACCCTGGGGTATCATAGCATGTCGGGAATCGAGGGGGGACATACTGGATGGATGAAACTGAACACTGATGGAGCACTGAACTTGCAGGATGGAGTTGTGGGTGCAGGAATTGTTGCACGGGATAATACAGGAAACAACTTTCCTCTTCTTCCAGCATTCTTCTACTGTCCCATGCAAAGAAATATATATCGATATCGGCAATGCTTCAAGAACTCAACATACATGCGCCATAGTGCCAATGATCTCCTTTACCAACTGTTCTGCCCATTGCTAGTGTTAAGCTTCCACATTCACTCCCAGGCCGCTGATGAGACCGTCACTTTTCTATTCAATTACCTAGAAAGAAGGCGCGTGCGTCAATGTTTTGTCTTTCACTTAATGAATCACGCGTTTTTCAAAGCATTACTCTTCCTGAGTGCGGGTTCGGTGATTCATGCCATGTCGGATGAGCAAGATATGCGGAAGATGGGGGGCTTGCCTCCTCCTTTCCTTTGACCTATGCCAGCCCAGAAAGATTGAAGTGGTCGTATTTCTGTTTCCAAAGTAGGATCCGCGGAATGTGCAGAATATCTAGTCGAGTTCGCAGATTTGACTGAACATAGATAAACTATAAGAACTGGATGCGGTTAAGCATACCATTTCGGACTGAGCATTCTACTTCCCCCTATTGGACATTCTCCTTCCCCCCTATTGGCGACCATGAAGAATGGATTTTTTCTTATCTTTCATGTGAGACACACGTCCTACGAAGCAATATGAGATTCTCAAAACAGGGAAGGCTACGGACGCAACTAGGTAACAATCCCTCGCTACCTGTTGCTGTGGTCGGCATTCCTACGTGCTCCGACTGATCCCCACAGGAGATTATATGAGGGGTCTTGGAAAAGATACTTTTAAGGCCGACCACTACATAGGAGCGATAGGAAGCCAAGCCGTCAAAAGGAAAGGCGAGCAGCCCTCTCCACAACCTAGTAGTTGATGGGTATGGGGAGGGGAGAGAAGAGGGGATTTCGCAATGTGAGAATGAAATATGCAAAATAGAGTTCGTTGGTAAATGAACGACATGGTAGATGCTCACCATTTCAATGTCTATATCTGTGGTTCCAGAAGTGGAATTGCTATTCTCGATTCAGACAAGACACTGATTTGTTTACGAACCGCTCTTCATTTTATAGGATCTCCCATTCGTAGATTTAGGATCACAAGCCGATGCTTCACGTCGAAATGGGTTAGTCACCGCTCGATCAACTAGTCCCGGGATTGCATTCTCTACTGAACTAACTACTGCTTTCCCAGAAATGGGTTCTTTGCAAGAAAGAATTACTTCTACTAAAAAGGGATCTATAACTTCGATCCAAGCGGTTTATGTACCTGCGGACGATTTGACCGACCCTGCTCCTGCCACAACATTTGCACATTTGGATGCTACTAAAGAGCTGCGAAAGAAAAGCGTGACAAGCAAAGTCAAGTCTCCATGACTCGACGCCGAAGGATGAGATCTTGCCTATGCAGTAGGATGAACAGGAAAGTTTCCTTTCTTGCACTTTCATAACTCGTGAAATGCCGAGTTGGTATGAATTCCCCCAATTTGCGACCTACCATAGGATTTGTTATGTAAATAGGAAAGGAGAGTTTCAGAGGGTCGGAGTCCCACAAGCAAAGAAGGATTCGAAATATGACGTCGATGTGATCATAGTAGAATGGACGTTGAGAATGGGCCTGAACAGTTGGGAAATCCCCGGTCTCAAAGAGACAAGAGACATACCTTGGGTCTCTTTCTTGGGCGGGGCACCAAATCCATGTATCTTTACCGATTAACCAATTTCTTGACGCTGGGGTTGATCCTGCAAAATGAGTACTCGTGTAGATATTCCCAAGAGGATGGGAACGACTACTGCTGAAACGCATCGGACTGAAAAGGAGGGAGACTCTCAACCAGAGCCGTTAGCAGAGGCTTCACGAGTTTCAAACCTGTCTGTTAGAGGGGAGGAGAGTGACTTTCTCTTTTGAATCTCTTAAGCTGACTTGAAAAAAAAACGATCATCCTCTCGGACCAGCTACTGATCATCGTCTTGGTAAGCTATTGCCTCACCAACTAGCTAATCGAGGCTTATTCCTATTCCTTTTGCGAGCGCAATACTAATTGAATCCACTCCCCATGTGTGTGCTTCTGCACCTATCCGGGAAGTACTTGCATGCAGACCGGAGAGGAGGAAAACTTAGAATGTCGTCTTTTGAGACATAACCAGGGCCCCCTTGCCCAAATTGAAACGTTAAATCCACGACCTTTCTCCAATAGGGAATAGAGTTGTCTCATGTGTATGTACTATAAGCACTTCTTTACCTAAATGAAAATTACCGAAAGGAGTTAAATGGTGCCTTGCTACCGGGAGGGGCCGGGATACCAAACTTAGGTGGTGATTAGTGGTATAGGTCATCAAGCACATGGGAATAGGCCCTGCCCAAGCGCCCTCCCGAGATCGGACTCGAGGGAGGGTAAGACCGGAACGAGGTCTAGCCCGAGCGATCTTGTCTCACGGACTATCCCGTAGTGGTTCTGTGACTATCAATTGGATCTTGACTAGATTTTATCAAGAGTCGTTCCCGGTACTACTTGGTTATAGCTTCCTTTTTTCCATTTTGTTTAACTTGATCACGCAACATTTCTTTCTGCTTTGACCCAATTGATGACTTTGTCAAACTCCGTAGGCACCATCTTAAAAACTTCTCGGGATATGGAGTTTTTCGAGAAAAGGTCTAGACGGGGCGCTATCACTCTTTTCCAGGAAGTCAAACGTTGGCCTACGGTCAATAGAGTCATAAAAGCCACGGGATCCTTAGCGCCGCG